CATGGATCATTCAATCCTAACATTTGTTTAAATATTAATCGAAATGATTGTAAATGACCAATTTGTACACACAATAACAATGGTATAACACCAGTCTCTTTATCTTTTTCAACTAATAATTTTTGGTCTAATAATAATTCAACAATGGATTCAAATTTACATAGACAAGCGACATGTAACAATGTTTGCTTTTTTTCATTTTTTGGTATATGAACATTACACCTTAATTCTGATAATAATTTTTTCAGTTTTTGTTTATCTTCTATTAGAACAGCATCAAATAAATTTTTATGTGGACTTATTCCTATGGGTTCGTCGGTAACATTTTTTTTAACTTTTTTATTTAAAAAATCAACAATTTCATAATGTTTATATAATTTCGCTATTGTTAACGGATCTTGATTAATTTATTGTGTTTGATTCAAATATTCAGCCTTATATAATGGGCCACGCATGAATTTATTAGGGTCAAAATGGGTAACATCAAAAACTATTTGGTCTAACGGCTGGCTCAATTTATCAACCTCATTATCATGGTCAATTAATAGCTGCAATATCTGAGGTGTTTGGTTAAAACGACAGGCATAATGCATAGGTGTTGCTCCATGTTTATCTGATTTCTATAAAACAAGCCAGAACTAACTCTTTTGTTAGCTGAAGTAACTTTCAACCTTCTCTGCAAGTTAAATCTCTTTCAGGGTCGTAGTACGACATAAGGATTTGAGTTGTCATCTCTGGCATAGGTCGAGTCAGTTTTCTTGCATAGAAATACCGAAGATAATCTAGTTATGTACCCATTACATTCTAGCCCAATTTCAGGGCTTTCACTTTCAAAAGAAAGAATTCTATGAAATTCCTCTTATAACTGCCGTAGAAAAGGGGACTGTAGCTTTAATTTAGGAAGAACTCTATAGTGAATCGAGGAAATTTTACCCTACCTCTATTACTCCTTACAAATACTTATGGACATGACTCACTTTAAAGGATGTGAATTGAACGGTTTAGTAACACACTAGGAGAGTTTCACGTTTAGATCGCTAGATACAAGTTGGTTTTATTATGTCTAACACCGAAAAAAACGAGATTACCATTTGAGAAGACACGTCCGTGATTCATCCCCTTATATAAGTTAAAATTAAGGTCAACAAGTGAAGGAAAAAGGAGAATTAAACGTTTCGTATGGAGTTAGTAATAAAAGAGTTAAGAAATGATTTGTTAAAAAGAATATGCTGGATAATCAAATAAAAATGGAAAAGAAAGTGTGGTCCTGCAAGACTTTCGAATTCCTCAAACAACACGACAATGTAAGTTTGAGTTTAGCGTGCTCGATAACCTATGTTTAAAGTTATTTTCGAGGTTATCGGAGCCGATGGGACAGAATTAGGAAAGTGTCAGCAAAATCATTGTCCTTTCCGAACCATGACTGGTGGAGAGCTGGGACTTGCCTAGCTTTGTAGAGGATACTCAAGACCATCTCTATGGGGTTTTAGATTCAGTATTCATCAAAGGAAGTCATAGCGCGATGATGTCGACTTTTTTTACCCGTTATGTAAGTTCACACTGTATAAAAATCCGAGCTTCGAGCCACCTTAGATGAGCTGGTAGCTCGATGTCTACACTACAAAATACTAAACATTCTACCTCTCTCGCCCTTTTCGTTCTTGATATACTCTAAAAACTAATGTGATCGTTCTTTTTTTCAATAATAGTAGAAAGCACGTTACTGACAATCACGATCAAGCAAAAACTATTCAACAATAATACTCTGCTCTCTTCAGCGACATATTTGTCATGGACAGCACTGAAGAAGGCTACTGAAAGCAACTTAGTCAGTAATTTTATAG